TTTATTGTACTACACTTATGTATTTCAGTGTTTATTTATCCTTCTGTGTTTCATATTGTATGCACCTGACGTATATTGCATTTTATTGTATTCTACGTTGTATTAAATTGTGCAGTATATAACTGTATTGCCCATTATTTAAATCTGGTGTGCATTGTTTTGAACTGCGTGCATATGTTTTGCATAAAAAATGAAAGCATTGGAAGTAATAAGATTTTTGTATTACATATGTTTATGTTGTTAATGCTGTTGGAAATGAAGATGATAACGCTTATATTTTGACGTTACATTTGTATTCTATAAACGTTTGTACTTAAAGTTAAAGTATTGTGAAACAGTCGGCATATCCAAAGTCGCTTACAACAATTTAAACAATTTGAAATGTTTATGTTCGTTTCTTTCATTTTGTCACTTTGCCAACAGTTTGCAATGATCTAGGGGGACAATATTTACCTTTCTATTGACATAATGTCACGCGAAGCGTGAAAATACTACAGTAAAACACCATTTATTGCCATTCAAATGCTGCCATATTGGCCATTAAATCCAAATTTAGATTGAACATGTTGTTGTTGTTGTTGTCATACAGCAGAAAATACCGAAATGTTACAGCTAATGACATTTTCTGTACATCATTTTTTGTTTTCCTACTTGTTTCAAAGCGTTTAAAACCATAAAATAAGAGAAGGAATGTTTAATACTATATGATATAAATACAATATAATTACTTTTTTACGAATTTGAATTGTTTTCCTCTAATTGTCACCGTAGCTTCCTGTCGGTCAGCCATCTCGGTCCATGTTTTCATATGTGTTCTTTCAATAAATTTAATCATCATAAAGTCTTTTCAAACTTAATTCAACATGCTCTCTATGCAATAAAATACAGTTTGTCTTACAGAACTTTAAAACTAGGATTAACAGACATTATAAAATACTATTTTGCAAAAATGCACCTCATTCTCAGAGTAAATATCTTTTATAAGATGTGTTCGGCAGTGCCTTTTTGTTACTTCTCATGTCAAAACCTGTTAGCGCTAAATTATAAAAAGAACGATAATGATTCATATATCTGAAGATGGTATAAACATATATGTATTAATAAGCAGGCTCTAGTAAAAACTGGTGTATTAATTGATTCAAAACAGTCTGAATGCCTAACCGTTATATTATTTGATAATTTTATGTGTAAGGATCGGGGTACCACTTTTAAACTATACTATCTACGTTAATACATAATATCCTATATATGCTTATCTAAGAAAAAATGTATCATTGTGATCAGACATTAGAATAGTGGATAATAATAATAATAATAATATTTGCTTATTTGTTTGTTTTATTTTACACCTTTTCCCAACAGTTTTCAGTTATATAGGCGGGTAGTTTCCTAGCCATCGTTCCTGGAGAGTTACACCAGTACTAGACTACCTTCCACCGTGCTTAACTATCAAAGCATCTCCCGGGGATCGAACCAACACCAGAGAGGTAACTGGATTAGAAGTCATCGACTCTAACCCATCGACCATGGAGGCGGTTTAATAATAATAATAATAATAATAATAATAATAATAATAATAATAATAATAATATTAATAATAATAAAATGATTATGATGATACCGGAAATAATAATAAAGAAAACAGATGTTTAAGATTTATAATTTATAACTTCCGAAGACACAATTAGAGTTTTTTATTGAAAACATTTTTCCTTTAACGATCAATTTTTAAATAAATATCAGGGAATTTAAAGGAAACTTGCTATAACAAACAACAAGAAAAGCATTGATGCAAAGCATCAAAGAGCGTCCAAGCAAGAAATGCAGCAAGTGAAGATGAACTAGTAGACATATGATGACAAGATATTCTTATAAACTTTTCAATGGTTTTTACCAGAATTGTATATCACTTATGAATGAGCGGACGAAAGACATTGTTCATTATGAACTTTGATTGGCATGCTAGAGATTAGAATATTACTTGTTATTTCTTTATGACCGTGGTTATTAATAGCAACGGATTTTGTGTGTTTGCGTTTGTTTACCCTCGCCACTGGGGGCGAGCAACGGATATACATGTATACAATCATTTATAATCCATATGTGTAACGCATGATCAACACCACACTTGTGTAATTGTCCCTTATTATGTTATCGCTATTAGCGAAGACTCCCTCTTAAGGTATCTATTCACACTTTTTTAGTAAAAGTATGGCACTGGTTATATTACCATGTTGATCATGTTGAGCATAATTGTTTATTATACAATAATTGTAATATCTATTAATTTTGATAAAAAAATTACAGATTTTATGAATATTGTTTTCTTTTCTTTTTTTTGTGTTTTATGTGCTATTTTATGTTAACTTACTTTTTTTAAATTTAAATTGTAAAATAAATTTTAAGAATTCAATTGTCATATTGACCGACGATTATAAGTAAAAAATTAACTGGAAAAGGTCAGTAAATAATGGTTAATCTTTCAATATATAATATTGTTTATTCTTATATTCTTAAACCATGTACATTTGTATTTTTCTTTATCATTTTTTAAATTATCAATCAATTGAATAATTCATAAAATCTAATTTGTAACTTTGAATAATTCCTCGGCATCTTTACTAACCACGAATAACAAATTAAATAAAATGTTTCAAAGTTGATAGTGTCGTATTAATACCATAAAAATGTACCTTTTTTCTCAATTATTGTACATATTTATTGTTTTTATCTTATAAAGATAAAATGAAACATGCTATTGTTGTTGTTCTTGTTGGTTTTTTTTTTCGAATTGTATGTTTATGTATAAAAATAATCAATAAATTTGAGAGTTGATCTGTGTTCATTAATTATTGTAACCAAATTAACTGACAAACATTCATTTTGGAAAAAAGCTTATTTATCTGTAAATTATTTGTTCTGTTCTGTAACGATATCAAACATCTACTCCAAAACCGGGAGAGACCGGACAATAAACGTGTGGTACTATTCGCCGGTCACTAGTAAATCCCGGTCAAAATAGACCGGGAGAGACCGGGAATTACCGATAGGAGCACATCCCTCTATAAATAGATTTTCGGAATATTTAGGTCATCAACTCATCATTCTATTTACAGCTTTCGGATAAATGTACAACAATAACATACCATAATAACCCACTGTGTAAATAAAAAAAAACGAAGAGCGCGATTTATTGACGGAAAAGGTTATTTCATTTGAAAATGTTTGCAAGTTCGCTATTCATTGTACCACGGATTAATTAATAATCAAGCACCTTCATACCGATCGGAATGATCGGCTTTTATTATGACCGACTAAAAGGCTCGAGAAGTTGCTGTCGCCCTTTCACAAAATCTGATTTCATTCCATAAAGGGGCGCCGCGCTTCGGCGCGGACGCCAATAATTATTTAGCCTGAATATATCATTACGCGAATAATTTTATTTTCTTACAACATGGCTCTTCAAGTTTAAAGGTAAAGCGGTATTAGAAATAATTATTATGAACACTGTTGAAATAAAAAAAATCAATTCTTAAGGTATTACGACCCTAATGGGCACTATTAGGAACTAAAAAATTGACATCATAGGTCAGATATATACCTTAAAGTACACCTGTATGCACAATTTAAACAAAGTTTACCGTGCGGAAATCAAGTTATGGCCACTTTTCTGAACTCAAGCTAGGATGTTATGAGGACCCTTTTTTAGAAATGAGGAACTTTAAATAATCTGCAATAACATTCTAATGAAAAATGTTTCCCATTATTTTTTGGTAAGAAACAAATAGTACCATTTAGCTAACAATCCACATAAGCATATGGTTTCTACTTAAAATTTATGAAATCTGTATAAAAATTTTACCCTACCCCACCCATTTTTACCACATATCTGACCATTTTTCTACTTAGGGAGCCTTATTTAAAAAAAACCCCTTAAAATTTACCCAAATGAGTGCCTGTTTTCAAAGTTCCCCTAAATTTTCAAAGAAGTATATTGGTTGATCTGGTGAAATATGAAATACTTTTACCTTCTAGTTTTGATTTTATTACTTTTTGAAAATATCAGGTACCATATTTATTACTAGATTTATCATTATTTAGCCAATAAATACCTATATAAATTAAAAAATCAAAATTAAGCACTTTTTTCTTTCCAAATGGGACATGAGAGATACACACATAATGTTAAAAGAAAAAAAGAAAGAAAAGTTGTTGACCCTCTTTGAGATTGAACCCACGGCCCTCATTTTCAATGTAGTTAACTGTAGTTCTAGCCTTTTTGAATACTCTTCAAAGCGGTGGTAATCCATTAGGATGGTAATACCCTAATTGTAAAAAAGATTCAGGTATAGTATTAACGAAAATCATTTCACAATTCTAATGAAAAATCTATAAATACGATAAATAAGATAAATGGAAAATTAAACTAAATTTACACTTACCCACACTTAACACACGGCAATAAATCTTATAAAAATGACACTGCCAAGACTTGTAACATTTAAAAATGGGTCAAATGAGGTTGATAACACGAATAACGAGAGCTATTATCATCAATTACTGGTAATTTATCCATGAGACAGCCTCTGCAGAAAATGATGCTCCACTTTCGTGCGTTACACTTGTTAACAACATCAGTTAGTAGTTCCTGGTTTAAAAGGAGTATAACCCATTTTTCACTTGTCTGGGCACACACACAAGCGCACACGCACGCACGCACGCACGCACGCAAGCAAGCATGCACGCAAGCATAACAATAAAATGTGTTTCAGAACAAAGGCATATCATTTTATCATCCAAAACATTAATTCATGCGTGGCAATTGGTCAAATATACAACTGGTTTCTTTGACTTAAATCTTTTCTTTCTATGAACGTGTAATAATTTGTATTCCAAACGTTATCCAATAAAGGTCAATTTTAAGTATTTCTTAATAAGCAGTTCATCGGTTTCTGAAACAGGACATTCATGATCAGTTTATAAAGCATCTCCAAGTCTGATAGCTGGTTATATTTTATTCAGTAGTATATCTTATCTCTTCTTTAATAACAACTTAATTTCATCTTTTTTAGACGTGACTTATAAGTAAATAATTGAGCGTTAAAAAGTACGTCAATTATAAACAAGGTACAACTCTTTACACTATAGAGTTAAGCACTATTTTCAAAAAATATAATTGTATATAGTTCTGTCAAAACCAAGACTTGTCTAAGACACTACGCCTAATACATCATACGTTTGCTTATCATCTTGTAACCTATTCTTCAGTGATGTGTATTGACAATCTCCTGAATCATCAAGATCTGTTTGCTGTTGTTCATCACTTTCATTTGTTGAGTACACTATATTTGTGTAAACTGGAACATTGCTGATGGCATAAGACAAGACAATAGTTCAATTTATTTGAAATGCATTGATGTAATACACAATTCGTAGAACAAACAGGCGTATGGAATATGTAAATTTCCACTTCGCTAGTATGTCTTGATGTCAGCTGTACAGTCTTACAATCTCTTCGGAATATATATTTGAAAATAAACGAAATTTAGCATATCTAGTTAGAATTCTTCATGAGCCTGAACTGGTTTCATAAAGTTAGGAGTCATTTATTATGACATAAATAAGTTCGGACTCACTTGGACTTTGAAATGTTTATTTTCTTAATCAATTCAATAGGGAATACAAATTTACTGATCGTATAACAAATATACTAATGTAATATTAAGATACTGTAAATAAAAGAACAATCTTTATTATAGTTTACAGTAAAAAATGTTAAATGTACAAAACGTGCTAAACATAAAAAGTGAATAGAAATAATCTCGATATGATATTTGCATCGGTTTAAAAATAGCACGTACTTAAAACAGAGCTTGCTAAAATTAAGTAGGATATTAATATATCTGACACTTACGTAACTGTCCTGCATGATGCATTTTCCTCTGAAATGATTTGAAAATAATCTCCTTTCAAAATGTGGAATCTATCGAGATTACATTTGTGAAGAAAATGATATGCCATCACAATATACAATATTGAATAGTAAGAACAGAACAATTTCTTTTTTTTCTCAACAATAAAACAACTTAAAAGTTTGTATTAATGCAGTAGCCTTTAATAATATAGAGGTCAATGCAATATTTCAGGATGATATATTAAAGACAATGTACAGATGTATCTAATTGTCGAATTGAAAAATAACTGTCCACTAGATATTGTTGCATGCTAAATATCTAAGCTCTTCCTTTCATTGTTCAGTAAAAGGTTTGTAAAGAAAGAAACATTATATCTAAATAGGGAAAGCACCGTTTGAAAGTCAATTTCGATCCATTTACTAAAATATGGACCATGTGTAGAGGTTACTAGATGGTGTTTCATGCTTTATCTTTGGCTTTAGCACAACAAATATTTTAAGTATTTTCTACATGTATATAATGAACACCGATGCACCCTCACCCTTCACTGCGGCGGGGTAAAATTTGATGGCAGACTTATTATTTGAAGAAAAAAAAAACGGTGATTGTTCAACAGAAAATGTTTGAGGCGTAAAAAAATCTCAGTCTTTTCCACAATTTTTTAGGAAAGATTTTTAAAAAATTACATAATTTTAAAACGGAACAACCTAATTTCCCTGGCGAGGGCTAAATTTGATCCCTGGGCTATAGTTAGATACGTATACAATATTTAAGATTTAACCCTAGCAGTTTTCAAAAGGAGAAATTTTAAGTGAGTATATATACGTATCTATTCTATAGCATTGAAAGTTTTGAATAAAAAATATTTTTTTTTAAATTTGATCCAAGGACTGAATATAATTTGAACAATCATGGTAGAAGTCCACTAGACAATGCCTTACGCAAACGACCTATCTTCTAGACCTTGAGAATTTCTATTTAATTTCCTATATGTATCACGGCAATCAGATTTTTTTTTTAAATCAAGGAACACATTAAGATGAAATCATACTTCTGGTTATAAAGGACTGGAATAAATATAGGTGGTTTTAAATAAGATGAGGAAGTTTTGAGTTCACTATATTATCTTCATAACACGCACGCATGAGCGTGCGCGCGCGCACACACACACACCAACGCACACGCACACGCGCACCAACGTACGTACGCACGCACACACACATGCGCACAAACAGACACACACAGAAACATGCTAAATGCCACCGCTTCGGTGGTACAAAACAGATGCATCACATTTATAATATGGTAATAATTTTTTTTATAAAAATCTCATAACCCCTACAGTTTTGGAGGAAAGAGAATGTAAAAAAAAGTAAAGCAAACATTAGTATATCATAAAAATATACTCACGTATTTTTCCGCCTTTCCGTTTTAGTAACAGTGTAACGTAACCCGCATACGTCAGTAGTATCAGGTTAATGAATCCAAGAACAATTCCTACGACTATGGCTTGAATGTTAGTAGTACTAACGCAGCTTGAATCACATTCTGCCTCTTTCCCTAGAACAGCGTTTAGAAATGATGATTTACGTCTTCTTATCGTTTCGTAATTTCCAAATATTTCAATGATTTTAAATTCTAAATTATTTCTTTCTAAATAAAGAAGAACAAAAAACTATGTTTAACAATATTAATGTGTACTCCTTTAAAACTTGTGACTATTTCATTTTCATCTTCTCAGTCAGCGATACAAAGATATATTTCAAAGAATAATACTTTATAATAGGAATAAAGATTCCGAATATACCCTTTGAATTGGAATTTCGTTATCCTTCAGTACCAATTGAAGATGGATTAGGTGACGTTACTAAACATCAAGCAACAGAAGGATGATCGATGAACTTACAGATAACTACTTATCTGAAAAGCAAACCTGTCGTACAACATGTAATACATTTAGTTGCGATTCTTCAGAAATTCCAGGGGTGTGTCAATTTGGCACTAGAGGCAAAATTTGAACATGTTTGGAAGAAATCCACTACAAAATGCCTCATGCCAAATATGTATCTTTAAGTCTTCGTCATTTCAGATAAGAAAAATTAAAGTTTTTACAACAAACATATAACGAAAACCTATCGCCCCCTTAGAGGCAACATTTGAAAATGATGACCTACAGATGGTATCATATACCTATTATATAAATGCTCTTGGCCCTTTACCTGCAGACACAAATATTTTTTTATTTTATTTGCATTTTTCCATTTCTAACCCTTTGATCTTCTTATGCAACAAACTGGAACCATTTGAACAACTTGAAAGGCCAATGACACATAGTACACATGCCACAACATTTGAAACTTTTTGTCAAAGGTACTTACTCTACAAATCATGAGGAAAAATACAAGCTTCCTCCTTTAGTGAATAACTACAATTGCTGACAAACCTTTCTGTATAGACTCATGAACCTAGGTCTTATAATAGTTTGGTTACGCGCGACGTAGGTTTAAAATTGCCTACTTAACCAAGACAAGCCTCAGACAAAACTGCGTTAATCCACATTCGAAACCCTAGGTTCACAACTGCACATGCTGAACAACATTTTCGTAAAATTTCATGACTCAACAGCAAATACGTTTTGGGCTACGCATGTTGAAAATTTCAAAGGTGCACAAGTTCAGATGTTAACCAACATTCTTGGATAGTTTGATGACCTTAAGTCAAGATGCGACATAACAGGAAGCGCACACACGGACGGATGGACGTCCAACAAGGACAAATGTAAATCCCCTCGTTATAGTGGGGGCACAAGATTTTGGAAATCTATACAGGATGATGTGGGTGCCAAATCATAGGCTAAAGCCTTGATTGTTCTAGAGAAGCCGAATGATAAATTTGTCGTATATCCTATAAGGAAAAACTATGTTCCTCCGGCGGCGGGGCCAATTTGACAAAAAGAGTCTAATTTGAACAATCTTAAGTGTCCATCAGAAAATGTGTCATGTATCTTAGATATAGCCCTTAGATTTCAAGTCTTTTTAAATATTGATATATAAGGAAAAGTCATGGCCTCCTGGAGTTAAACCAATTTTGGCCGGAAGACTAAACTTTGGATACGTGTTACCAAACAAGATTAAATAAAAAAAACGAAGCAAATTTGATGTATAGCTCTTGGAAGCTGCATATCTACTTAATTGTGGCCATAATTGTGTGAGGTTTAAATCAAATTTCTTCTCACCTTTCAAGTTTTTTCTCCTAACAAGAGTGTGTGATATAGACAGAAGGAAGGAGGTTACCTTTGAGTCTAAAAACCATCAGCACCTATGTTCACCCATAAGCAAAATTTTTACCCATAAGTACAGTATGTACAGGATGGATTTTTATCCCATCATGAAGCTTGACTTTGTGCAGACAAATAAAGTAGTGACTTTATGTAGCATAATTAATATTAAGACCTGTTATTGTAAACTGGATAGCAAGTGCATCTGCTTCATTTATCCAGCCAATATCATTCCCAGTGCGTACTCTAGCATCATATACATTAGGATGCAATCCGCTTATGTTGAAAGTAAAGGTAAGTTTCTTTGCCTGAAGAAATGCTGTATCAGTTTCATTAAATTTAAGTCTCTCAACCCAGTTGTCCTTTCCAACTTCAGTTGTTTCTATAATAAATGTTTGGAGAAGTCCTCCGTTGAAATTGCCGACTAAACGAAACGTTGGTATTCCATCTTTGAGGCCGGTGAAATTGAAATATTTAGGAATTGACGGCTTACCTGAAATGAAATATAGAGTTTTGCTTAAACATGGTCTTATTGCATATTTTATTTAAGTGTCACAATATAGCTTCATTTTAAAAATCTGTCTGTCTGTTTATCAACAAAAGCACCATTATCAACATACAATTGCATATCACCATCACCAGCTTAAGTTAAAGACAACCTTTTAAAATCAAAACAGAACAAACTTTGAGTCAAGAAATATCACTCTCTACAATGCGGAACAAAGCTTAAGGGCATATTATGCCCCAGAAATAAAAAATATGTTTACTTCTTTAGAAACGGTAAACGTGAATTCTATAATGTTTAAATAATGGTTTCAGAGAAATGTCAATTGCGTGTTACCTGGAATAATAGCAATAAATGTGCGTGACGTTAATTGTAAAATTACGACGTCACGTCCGTTGATATTATTATTATTTATTTACCTTGAAAAAGGCATACATTTGCCGAAACGTTGGAAAAATAAAAAATGATATTATACGTGTTATTGCTGTGACTTTATTATTTTAATAAATGTGTAATAAAGTGTCATTAAAGTAGCAAAATGTAAACAAAGTAGTATTTTTCCACATAAAATATTAAATCACTATAACTGTACTCTTGCAAATTAGCAACAGATGATATAGATGGTTCCAGTATCTGGCCAAGTAGTAACTTTCTGTATATTATAAAATAAAACCAAAATTAAAATGCTTTTGAGAAATAAAAGCGTTTCTTGGACAGAATGGGCTTTTAATACAATAGTATGGCATGAAAACAAATAAATTTTCAGACAAGAGAAAGGAAAAAATATCATAATTTACAGAAACATTCATTTAACAATGACCAGTGTTGATAACATCTGCAACATTGCATCAAAGTAAAAGATCTGCTTTAAATGCCCTTTGTTTTAGAAATAAAAAATAACCTTTCAACTAGAGCGGTCACGGAGTGACGAATATCACAACGTTAACATAGATAAGATAAGATATAAGGCAGTGCAATTCATAATTATGTTTAACCAAGAGCCAATGCCGGGCAACGCACGACTAATAATGACAACTAACTAGTGATGTTAAACGGACTCCTTAAGTGTTTTGCTGTGATCTTCAAGCCCTGACCGACGAACCTATCAAATCTAAGAGTATTACTTTATAAGTATATACACCACTTTAAAATAAAGGCTTGGTAGTAAAACGTATGAAAGTTTATTTGTAACAAACAAGCGCTTACTTAATTATTTAATTTTGATCCAACGGTATGATTTGATTAAAATTAGTACATGTCTACCACTTCATTTACTTGGCACCTGTTACCAACTATGTTATAATTTCTGATTTCTGTTTGAGCTCATATAAAATTAAAATACGCTAAGGCAAGGCAAATATTGTTTCAATACAGTGGAAAAAAACGTGGTAAAGGTACATTTATCAGTCTTGAACGATTTTAATCTAATTACAGAGCAAGTTCTGCAAAATTCTTGTTCACTTAAATATCAACACTGAAACTACAAACCTGCAAACAAACAAATGTGGCAAATTGTGAAAATAATATAATTGTACTGTGAGTATTAATTGTGAAAATAATATAATTGTACATGAACCTAGAACATACTTTGACAAAAAATGACTAACTGGATTCTTCAACTCAATAATCCTGATCTAAATTGTTACATGAAAACAAATTATTTGAGTCTTACATATGTCAAATTTCATTCAGCTGGTTATATTGCTTTATATAAATATAAAAAGATAAAAATCATACTTTGGGAGACATGTTTCAAAATCCATGACTTATAAGATCCAATCCCATTATCAATGACCAAGATGTAGTTAATAAAATCTGATTCTTCCTCATTCTTTATCTGAAGCTGAGCAAAGTACCCGTCTAGCTCCACTTCTTTTCCATAAAACGTGTCCTTGACGTTTCCTTTAAAGAATGACACTGTATGTTTGCTAGAGTTTGTTATCAGAGTTCCATTTTGGAATTTAAATCGCAAAGTTTGAGGAGGTGGGTCACTGTAAAATGGTGCTGTAATATTTACTGTGCTCATAGGTGCTCCAGCAAATATTCTGTCGCCAATTTTTAAAAGCAACTTTGGTGAAACTGAAATATAAAGTAAATATTCATCATATATTTCAATAAATAATAAAGTCAATAAAACTGATCTTTTTAATCACATCTGTAATGAGTATTTTACTTTCAACTTATTTCATCATCATTTTTTGTTAAGTTAAAAATATACTGTCTAACAATAATTAATATCCATTAGCTTTGTTATTTTAACAAAAGTATAATTAACGTTAACAGTCATCTAAATAAATGACTTTTTTATATAAGAATGTTTTGAATTGATTTATTAACGTACTATAATAATACAAAACTGGCTTGCTCAATTTTTCTCAGAGAAAATGGGATACAATAACAAGAAATGGCCCCTAATCCCATTTCAGTTGCACGTTCTTTTGTGCTAAGACAATTGGTTTCACAGAAAAATCTTTGGAGCATTTCAGTGATTGCGTTTAGATTTGGCATGTAAGTTTATCAAAACTAGAAATGTGCCCATAGGACACGGGTGCCCTAACATTCCACTGTTTTGTCAATCTTTGACTCTAGGTCAAATACTTTTGGGCTTAGGTGCCACAAGTTGAAAACTGAAAATCTTTTACTAATTAAAGGCTTCACAAAGACCGAATAAAACCACAAGCGAAGCCCAAGGTGCAAAAGTACACATGCTGACCAACATTCTTGTAAACTTTCAGGCCTAAAAGTCAATTACTTTTTGAGCTATGCATGAACAAATTGAAAATTGCAAACTTATACTAAGACAAGGGCCATAACTATTAACAAAACTGACAAAAACCTATTAACAAAAGTTAAAAAAACGTGCAAAATACCAGGTGCATAGCTTCACAGTGATGTCGATCATTATTTCTGTATAGTTTGTTGATTCTAACTCAAGCACTCAAAGAACACATAACACAACATAATGAAACAGTTTTCAGGGCAATAATTTTAACAATGCTGAATGAATCCGCAAGCGCAACCAAAGGTGCACAGCTACACATGCGGACCAATATTCATGTTAAGTTTCATGACTCTAGGTTAAATACATTTTGAGCTACGCACGGGATTAATTTAAAATGTCAAAGTTTCACTACATCTAAGGCAGTAACTTACTTAATTTTCCAATTTTGATCCAACGGTCATGATTTGATTAAACTTAGTAAATGTATACCGGGCCATTTACTTGGTACCTGTTTCCAACTATATTATAACTTCTGACTTCGGTTTGAGCTGATATAAAACTAAAGGACTCTTAGGCATGACATATATCGGTTCAATACCGCGATAAAACGTGATTAAGGTACATTTAGCACTTCAAATGTTTTTAATATAATGACAGAACAAGTTCTGTACAATTCGGGTTTACATGGAAATTAACACCAAAACTATGCAGACAAACGGATGGACAATAATCACAAAAAGTGAACCACCAATTTCAAAAGCTCATATATTCTTAAAAAAGCCTTTTAACAGTCACAAACATCACTGAAATCATAGTGTGAGTATAAATAGTGAATATAATATAATTGTACATCAACGTGGAACATATATTGTACATATCTTAGACTATTGTTCTGTTTAATATGTTACGTGGTAAACAATCATTTGGGTCTTACATATGTCACTTACATTCAGCTCGAGGTATTGCTTTACATGAAAATTTCATGTTTAGATATGTCAATAGATAAATATCAACAAAATACATACGTTGAGAACAGGTTTTAACAGCCATGATTGAATAGATCCAATCCCGTCATCATCATTTATACATTTTAGTTATGCTGTTATGCTATGTAAATAATACACTGTGTAGGTATAACTAATATCAATTATCTTTGTCATATTAACAATATTATAATAAACATTAACAGTTATCTTCCAGTAATAGGAATGTTCTGTATTTCTGTATTAACTCACTCAGTGCCAAGGTACATAAAAAGGTCAAAAAGAAACATTTTTCATTTCCTCAGTGGAAGCGGGGGACAATAACAAGAAATGGCCCATAATCCCATTTCAGTTGTATGTCCTTCTGTGCTACAGAAGAATGATTTTTGGAGAATTTGAGTGAGTGTATGTATAGTTGACATGTAAGTACGTAATATCAAAACAAAAGTCACATTTGATTTTGGCTGCAATTAACTAACTATTAACAGTTATACCACCTTTTAGGCAATATTTAAGTAAATATATTGGTTTCTGCAACTTTTAACTCTTGAGCAATTTCAGTTATTGTCTTTACAGGTGACATTTAAGTATGTAATATCATAACACAATTTGAGTTGGAGTTTCCCAGCAACTAAACTTATCATTAATAGAATTAAGCAGCTTTTTAAGCTTAGAATGAGACTTTTCCCCCCAACTATACTATTTTCGAAATACAGTAGCAGTGGCGTTGACATTGAACCTAAGAGGTTTTAACCAATCCGAAGTGAGATTGAGTCTCCACATTAACTTTCAATACTCTGAATTTGATTACAATATCACATTCCTTAAAACATCTGGAAACAAAGAGATCCCTCGGAGGCATTTATCACAACAAAATTACATAAAAATTGCAGACTCGGATTAATTGAGTCTGTGCATGAGGGATAATGAAGAAGGGAAACATCCCTCAAACCCCCTAGTATCGGCTTAAGCGGTACTCAATTCTCAAAACGTAATAGTGTTATAACTCTAGTTATTGTCCGAAAACCACTTTTCTAGCTTGATAATATAATGTCAATCCAAACTCTAGTTATCAACGGAAACCATCAAGCTAGACTGACAGATGATTTTCCTGAGGTTCTTAGAATCCTTTAATATTTTTTATCTCAATAATGTTAATGATGAGTAACAATGATATCAACATCAATTGGTTTTATAATTATATATACAAAAAATATTGTTAAGTTTAAGGCACATTTCTAAGTGATCAAGACAGTATGTTTACGAAACACACATCCTCCTGAAAACACAGAACTTTAGATCTTGGCCAACTAGAATATGTTTAATCAATTTGGGAGGCATTGAAATTAACTTTAAGATTTGAGTAATCTTTCAACAACCAGTAGAATTCCTTTTATGCTAAATTTGATTATCACAAACCTTTAACTTTAACAGTGTTGTTTCCACTTTGATCAAGCTTCTGGTTCCTGTCACGAATGCCATTATTTGCAACACAAATATATGTACCACTATCTTGAAGTTGAGCATTTTGTACTTCTATGACACCATTGGTTGGATTTTGTACTTTAGATATAACCACATCTCCCCATTTATGTACAATTGACGAGATATGATAATATGCAGGCCTTCCTTTAGGTTCACATTTAACTGTTAAGATGTTGTTCTCAGTTGGATTCCGGCTACTTACAGATACAGTGATATCTGGAGCATCTAATTTGTTTAAAATTGTAATAAAGTTATCCGCATGAATGTGACAACGCTTTTGCATGTTTATGCAATAAACATTCACGTATAAAATAAAGTTGACTGTGTTTGGTCTTTATCAGATATACGTCCATCATACCGGTATCTTGTTTTCAATTAGAAAGGTTTTCACCTTCACATTGGACGTTTGAATTACATTTCAAGGAGAGGACATCAGACACACATTGTTGAGTATAATACTTAATTCAAACAATGTGCTGATACAATCCGAATGAACAAAATACACCGTATGGTAAATGATAAACTAAACGGTGTTATGAAATGGGCTGTAAGAATTTCCTTAGCATATTACTATTTGTCACATATATAGAATGTATGCGAATTTTCATGTATAATAGTTGTTATCCTGAACTCGGCCAGCTTAACCCCTGGTATAAAATAATCCATTGCAGTTTCACGGTGCACTACAGTTCACAATAGATAAATAAATATTTTGCACTCATTTCTTGAATAGTGTTTTAATAAAAGTTTGTTTGTATCCGCGGATTAGCTGGGAAAATCCAAAATAGTTTAAAACATAATTTTAAGACTTTCTACCTGGGGACCCATTAATCCCCTTTTATTTTTTATTTTTATACTTTTTAAACTCATTTTTTATAATAAATAAAACCCGAGTTTATTTAAATTCAAATTACAATTTAAAAAATTTAAAATTTGGGGGTTAAAAAGGTCTTTTATTTTAACCACGGCCCTTGTGTTTAATCTACCCCAAAAAGGAAGTTCCTCTCATAATACACAGACGATTTCCCCGGGGTTAATAAATTTAGGCAACAAATTAGTTTATTTGTTGGTTGTGTGCGTGTGTGCTTTGCTTTTGGTTTGGTCTGTGCGTAGGGGCCCCTATATATGTGTTTTTGATAGGGAAAACATTTTTTTTAAATATAATATTTTAATGGTTAAAACTTTTTAAAAAAACCAAAGGGTTTAATTTTAAAAATCTTTTTTAAAGTTACATATAAATATAGCCCCTTTCAAAAATTTCGATGTTTTAAATACATAACCATGTCTATATTTTATTCTTTTAAATTAAACATCTTCGGAAAAGGATAAAAAGAATAAAAAACACTGAACGAATAAATAAATGAATTAATGAATGAAAGAAAGAATGAATGAATGAATGAATGTATGAATGAATGAATAAATAAATGTAACAGAAAAATTAATGCTGCAAAAATATTACTTAACAAATAAGTGGCAAAATATGATTGTCATATAATGACTAACTGTTGTCGCACACTGACTTAAATCATTGTGTTCGGGTAGTTATATAGTGCAATATCATATATCAATAGTGCGAACACAATTTGATAATTTAACTGACACACATATTATTAACGTAAATTTCATAATCTTGTAAAATGATCACTCGAATGAAAACAAATTATTAAGTATGACGGTTCGATTTGGTTGGTTAGATGTGCTTATATCGTCGCTTAGAATCGGCTTCAGCGTTTTTCATTCCTGAACACGAAAAGTATTCGAATCAAAGATGCAAAACTGTCAGTATATAGATACGTATAACATTAGAATAAATAAGATTAAAATTTGCTTTAATTTGACTTTTTAATGATTATAAAAGAACAATTTAAAACAACTTACAGTTAACAATGACATTTAATTCTTCTTCTGTAATAAAGTTATGACTTGGATAATGCGTTGATGTTGCTGTAGCTTTACATGTGTATTCCCCATGATCTGTTCTATCTGTATCATCAAATGACAAAGTAGGACCTCTAGACTGTTGTCCTACTGCCCAGTTTACAACTGGGTTAGGGTTACCAGTTGCATAGCATGTTGCAGACAAAAATTGACCCTCATCATTTGTTATTGTATTGACTTGCTTCCCATCCACCAGTATCTGAATTCTCGGAGAATCTGCATTATATACACAGAATATGTGTCCGATTAAAACATTACAAAAAAACAACGTGATGTGTAATTGTTAAGATTGGTTAAAACAATATGCGGACTATATCCGAATTCAAAAGAAAAACGATGCATATATATATTTCAGTTGGTCTTCACCCTAAATGTAATATCATGTTTAAAACTACTAAAGAGTTTATCAAAACAATGGTCAAAACAAATAACTTTAATCAGACTAAAAAGCCAAGATATCATAATATCACATCATTAAATGATTCCAAACATGCTAATGGAAAATATTAAATAAAGAATTATACACAGGCTCCTTGTAAAGAAATGATCTTTAGATCAACTATAACTTTTCACAGCGGCTTTTGACTTTGTTTTCTATTTAATAGTTAATTTTATTACTGTTTAACAGGACAGCAAATTACATATAAACAAACAAATTAATTAATTAATTTGAACAAATATATTTTAGAAAGTGCAGAAAAAATGTTATCCTTAATCCATTTTCTCTTCGGCAATGTTAGTCAAGTAAAACATTATATTATTGAGAAATTATGATGTACAATGTAACAGTTCACATATGAAATAATATCTTTTACGAAACATAATCTTTAACAAAATGCATACATAATGAACTTTAAAAGGTATGATGTTTTACCATTATAAGATTCAACTTAACTTAAATATTAAGAGATTAACGCATACGATTTTAAACGACAAAATAATGAAAAGTGTTCAAAGTTTTAAAACCAAGAGTTACAAAGATAAAAACTAAAAGATACCTGAGTGATTGCAATAAACAAATGTGATATAGAACAGCTTTTAAAAAATTAAATCATTCATTAAATCACAAAGGATAATAGTTAATTATTTCGACAATAAAAAAAAAACTAGAAAAGTGTCAAGACACAACACTCATTCATTTGGATCGATCACACACATAATGTAACTGCATTTGTCTCTCTGACAACATTTGTATATACAGGCGATGTTTACAAAGGTCAAGTATCATAATTTGCAGCAAGTAATATATGAGGGTTTTTCAAAATGTCTGTGACAAATTTTCATAGACGGTTAATTGTTAATGCCAGTCTACAATGATTAACATATATAACCCATATCTTTTTTAATTAACAGTGCATTAAATTATTTTCAAAATATATACTCGAAATTTTGTTATATTTACGACATAGATATGAGCTACCGGCGTACGTCAAATAATCGGCATAATGCTATGAAAAAGTTGGAATATATTACTTATATTGGTGTAGTGTGAGACGGAAAACGTAGTAACTGATATTTTCTTGTTTATTTCTACAAAAACAGTACAATTCTGCAGTCTACGTCTCTCAACACTTAATGCTTAAAATTGACTTTTCAATGATTATATATTTTTTTCTGTCAACAAAGCAGGCTACAAAATAGTATATTATAACATATATTATCAATCATTCTTACATATGAACTTTGTATAAATTCATACAGACATATATATGCAATCACCCGATAGACAAGTTATGCACGCACCTGTTATAGCACGAGGGCACTACTACACATCTATAAATATCATGCAGAAATCCAATGAAACAGAAGATAGCGAGGGGGTCAATTGAACCGTGACGGTAGACAGGAGAAACATGTGTTAACTTAATTGTCAAAGGCTGCTTGGTTTAAGATGTAATAAACATGACACTGATGTGATGAAACTTTTATTCAAAGAGCACGACATTTTATTATTTACTGAAAGTTGGTTAAATGATTCATGAAGTTAATGGTTTTATAAACTTTGCTGTTAATAGAAAAAGTAAAGAAGGTGCAAAGAGAGACAGTGGTGGTGTAATTGTATACACCTCTGAAGAGATAAACGCAGTGTTGTATTCCTTTAAAGTGTAGAAGATTGTATTATTTGGTTACAATTAGATGGCAAATTGTTTTTTTAGACTAAAATGTACCTACTTGAAGTAGTAGATAATTTATTCTTGTACAAAATATATTTGATATAATCTATCAAAATATATTTCTTAATTATCTTTATATCTTTATATCTCTCTATATTTCTGTTTTAAGTACCCAAGCTCATTTATGTAAGAAATTCAAATGTTATGTTTTAGGCTTTTAAACGTCAGTGGAGTCCCTTTAAGAAAAAGCCAGGATAAGCAAGTAAATGAACATCGCAAACTTTTATTAATTTTTTTTGCTGAGAATTTTAAACGGGAGAAACGGCGCTGATAAAAATTTGGGTAAATTTACATGTGAAGGAAGAAGTGTCATAGATTTTGTTTTATGTAGGCCCGACCTGATGAAGTATCTTACATCCAAATATTATATATGATTATTGTGTTGTGAATGTTTCTTTATATTCAAAGTTAAACAGTATTGATGATGAAATTGTGCAAGATAATATTAACAATGGTAAATTATCATGCAATGAAAATAAATGGTATGACAAAGAATGTGTTGATGAAAGAAAGATTTCTTTTACCAGTGTTTAAATGAGCAAAGAAATAATGAGTGTAATGAAAATAGAATACATATGACTAAAGCTAGAAGTGAAACAAATGTCTTGTAAGAAATAAAAGGTATAATTTTGACAAAATGCAAACTATAAAATTAGAAACAATGAGACTTCAAATGCAAAAGAGTTTTGAAAATTGTTAAAAAGTGTGTGTGGTAATAATAGTTCGAACAATATTTCTGCTGATCGTTTTGCTGAATATATTAAAGCGGTTAACAATCCATTGTCTGCATTTTTTAACCTGAGGATGATATTATACATTTTAAAGAAACATATCTTAATAATTAGCTTAACGTTATGTTTTCAGTATTGAACGTGGAAATTTCTTCTGCTGAGGCTTTAAAAGATTGTAATGAGTTAAAATTAGGAAAAGCGGCAGGTCCAGACTTAATTTTCAATGAACATATTTAAATATGGGTCTCAAAATAGATTTTTCCTATTTTTCCTTAAAAAAATATTTAACAAAATTTTGACCTCGGTTATTTCCCTGAAAAGTGGACTGAACGATAACTCATCCCTTTACACGAAAAATGGTGATACAGATGAACCTAGAAATTACAGACCAATTACTTTGTTAAGTTATTAATAAAGTTTTGAATAACCGATTAAATTTTTTGGCCGAAGACTATAATGTGTATATTGAAGCAAAGGCAAAACTATGGGACCGATTGATAATTTTATTTCTACATTGAATAATTAATCATATGCTTAAAGATCCTGTATGTTTTGTGATTGATATTGTTACTGTGTGTATACCACACTTGCAAAAATTATATATGTAAATAGTTATGCAAATAAAACAATTTTCAAACATTAAAAAATATGTAAGATGTGTACTGCAAATATGTGCTCATTATATTTAATCAAAAAATTACATGCATTCATTTCTCATTGAAAAATTTGACTTAAAATTTATAGAACATAAAATTCTAATTACCTCCCTTTATTTACATGAAATGTTAAAATGGGTAATATCGTTATAAATAATGCTTATTTTAACTTACAATATTGACAAATCTTAATTTGAGTATCATATTTATGAAACAAAACCATGAAAAAAAATTGTTTGACAGGATCTTTAAAACAATCTAAACCAGAGTTTTTGAAAACTGAAGAAAAAAAATACACAGGGTCTTGTTTATCAGTATCATTTTATGTTAAGCTTCCCCCGTTTTATTATTATTATTATTATTATTATTATTATTATTTAGGGCACACACATTGTATTCATTGTGGATCATACGCCGCTTTTCATGAAATGGCACTAACATGTCACACTGAAGTTTCCATGATCACTGCCATATGAATGAACCTGCTAATGTTTCTAATTTCAAAATTTACAATTACATGTTTAAATGTTATATACTGCTTAATCTGGTGCTATTGGGCGTGGACAGTAGCATGCACTTTCCAGTACTGTCCACGAACAGGGCCAAAGTCGGCCTGCAGCATTTTCAATATTGCTGTTTGGACTTTTGTCTCTTTATGTATATAATAACATAGTATTATGCTTTAATTAAATGTGCAAATGAAGAGACAACTAGCGCCAAACACACATGCAAACAACTGAATTTTATTTTGTTTGTGATCATCTTGTGCTAGGCCATTGGCACTCAGTCATATATTCATATTTGTCTGTTTTTATGCTCCCCGAAACATTTCGGGGGAGAATATAGTCGTCGCCTTGTCCGTCTGTCGGTCTGTCCGTCCGTCCGTCTGTCCGCACTTACAGGACAGTACATTGTAATTATGTGGCTAGAGGGACAATAGGTAACTGTTCTTTCTCTTTGATGTCATTCATTCCGTAATGCTTTTATGTGGCTATTTTCTTTTGTGTGGCTAAAAAGAACAATAGAGAGAACAATAGAGTAGCCACATAATTACTCCCCTGTTAGAACGTCCGTCTGTCCGTCCGTTGTCTTGTCCGGAGCATAACTTGAAAACCCTTGAAGATAATTTGTTGAAACTTCATACAGTGGTAGAGGGCATTGAGGGGGAGTGCAGTGTTAAAGAACATATCTCTATTTTGGCCGGTTTTTTAATCATCTCTTATAGAAAAAACTTGTCCGGGGCATAACTCTAAAACTATAAGAGATATCAACATGAAACTTTATAGGTGAATAGATCTCATTGAGTATAGGTGCAGTGCAAAAGAACCATAACTCTGTTAAGCCTCATTTTTGAATTATATCCCCTTTTAGAAAAAACTATTTTTTGAGTTATTGCAATTTGTTAATTTTAACACTTTGAACTTTGTCCGGAACATAACTCTTAAACTATAAGAGATATCAAGATGAAACATTGTAGGTAGATAGATCTCATTGAGTATAGGTGCAGTGCAAAAGAACCATAACCCTGTTAAGCCTCATTTTTGAATTATCTCCCCTTTTAGAAAAATCTTGTCCAGGACATAGCTGTAAAACTATAAGAGATATCAACATGAAACTTTGTAGGTAGATACATCTTAATGGGTAGATGTGCAGTG